TTTGGGTAGAATGTTTCTCGTTAGCAAAATCCCCAAATCAAAAGAAGGACAACAAAAGAATAATAGACCACACATGGTATTTTTGTAAGGGTAATTTTGTCAATATTTATCATATCCTAATATTATCTGGTCACCTCAAACACATGATAGGATAATATAATTTTATCATACTCTTAATCCCGTGCACATCAAACACAGGATATGATATATGATTATCTGGTCCATATCCTTTCCTTTCTTTATTCAGTCCTCTTATCCTATCTGTCATTATCCTATCATGTCCATCAAACAAGCCCTTAACGTTGAAAAACTCTTAAACAATTTAAGTGAAAAAACTACAAGAAAGAGTAGAAAAACCTTACTATGAAAAACTCCAAAATTACAAAGAGAGAACAATTTTATCCTTCTCTTGAATTAAAAGAACTCCTCCCAAAATCCACTTAAAAATATAATAAAGAAATGAAGAAGAAGATTGGTACGAATACAAATGAGGGAAGGGGGCTTTAGTTATAGCCTGGGATTCATATTTATGAAACCGCTAGCTGAACCATCAATAAATACTCTCGAATGCGAACCTAGACCATAACAGGTTTCTATAATTCAAAGATGATGAATTGAGGTTTCAAAACGTTTACTTAAATAATTTCTTATTGATTAGTAAAAAATGCAGATTTTATTTTTGGATTTAATATATAAGCGATAGAAACAATGCACAATATAAATAATTTCAAAAAGAAATATACATGTTGCACTAAATAAAAAGTTAATGGAAGAATTACAAGTACATGAATCAACTGGTAAGGGATTGTTCTAGGTTAACCAATGATATCAAGTTCGAGTAACTTAGCAGTGTTAAAAACTTGATAGGAAGAATTTTGTCATCCTTATTATTCTACCAGGCTCGAAATTTCATTCACTTTAATTTTATACACAAAATCATGATATCATTTAAATTCATTCTATTTTATAGATATCCCCATTAAAAACTTGTTAACATAATTCATTTACTTTTTTAATTTTTATATCTCTTACTAAAAATTATTATTTTTTATAACGATGCATTTAACCTAGAGTCAAGTCTGTAGCCTCGTATTATTTTCTTGACATTTTTTCTAACCAATTTAAACTTTTACAAGTTCTACTCATTAGAACATTTATACAAACATTTGAACACTCCCTTTAGTGTTTAATTACCTCATTTACCGCTTGATTTCATGACCAAAGTTTCGATTATTTTTACCAAACATCCCCTCGCAACTTTTTGGATATACTTAATAAGGTTTCATGAAACTATTTTTATTATAGAAATTATTTTTCTACTACACTTACGTAAAACTGAGTGGATATTAATTTTTTCCCTCTTCTCTTTATAATAGGACTCACTCACTTTTTATAAGCATAATAAAAAAATATCCTGCACCAAAAACACACATTTTCTTCCCTATAAATAAATATCTCGCTCCACATTTGATGTGCTTCTCCATTTAACTATAATGGTCCTAGCATTCTTTCCTTTGTAATGTTTATTAGAATAATTTATAAGTTTGATGTTTCTCATATCATAGGAAATAATTTTATCTCCTATATATACATTAGGGTTGGCAAAACGGGCCAACCCGGCCCAACCCGCATTCAACCCGTAAAAATCGGGTCGGGTTAGGGTTGACTCGAAAAAATAAACGAGCCAGAAAACCCAACCCAGCCCAACCCGAGCCGGGTTAGGGTTGGCTCGGAAAAAAGCTCGCTGGTTGGCTTTAGGAGAAGGAAGAAAATTATGAAGAAGAGAAAAAATTCTAAGTGTTGAGCGCTAAAACATTCATCCAGAACGTTTTAGCGCCCTGATGCTGGAAAAAGATTATGGTCTTCAGCGTTAAAACGCTCAAACCAAATGTTTTATTTTTTTTTAATTTAAAAAAAATATCCAACCCGCGAGCTGGCCCGTTTAACCCGAGGGCTGGCTCGTTTGGGTCTGGGTTGTATCGGGTCGGGTTGTATCGGGTTGGCAGCTCATTTAGGCCAACCCAACCCGACTCATTTAGGACGGGTTGCGAGCCAACCCGACGGGTTGACTCGTTTTTGCCAACCCTAATATATATATATATATATATATATATATATATATATATATATATAGGGGAAGGATATTGTGACAACCAAGTTGTGTTATTACCAAGTGACTACCAATCAATCTAACCGTTAGATCGATTATGTTGATCCAACAGTTATATTTATTTCCATCTTTGTATAGTCATGATTTCCTAAATTTAATACTTTATATTTATTTTCACCTTTGTATGGTTATGATTTCCCATATTTAATGCTTTCACTTTAAATACGGGGAATCATGACCATACAAAGATAGAAATAAATATAACCGTTGGATCAACATAATCGATCTAACGGTGAGATTGATTGGTAGTCACTTGGTAGTAACACAACTTGGTTGTCACAATATCCTTCCCCATATATATATGAGAAAGTATATGGGACTCATGTGAAAAGAAGAGAGAAAAAAAAATATAAGCCTCATATAATTTTATATATTTGTAAATTTTTTTTTTATCTTTATCTCTTGTAACATAAAAGACATTAAACTCATATTTTATTTTATTTTTTCTCGATAAAAGCTATAATAATTAAACTCGTGCGACTGTGACCGGAAAACATAACAAAGAAGTTTGATTGACAGTACACTGCATGCTATACATAGTCAACTTCACGATGCCTCCCATGCTGGCTTTGACTTTTGAGTTTCAATTTCTTAATATTCGTTTTCACAATGTCATTTTTCGTTCTGAAAAACACGCAGTTATTATTTTCATTTTTGGGCAAAGCTGTAGTTGCAAACGTAAGATTTAGTCCTGGAAAATCCAATTAAGAGCCCAATTTTTTAGATTCTATTCCTAACATTAGTTATGTTGTTGCTTGCGCCATTTAAATTTTTTGGTTTTTCTGTTAGGAAACTGGTTAAAAAATTACTGAATATATAATAATCTGGTATATAATTATTTCTTGATTAATACATTTTTCAAAATGAAAATATAATGATTATAAAAAATATTTTTTGTAGTTGATTATGACCAATGTTTTTCTATTTCTGAAATTTTGATATGCCAATTTTGATTGAAAAATTGAGCTACCTTTGAAATTTGTAATTGATTTTAACAAGAAGTGACCACGAGTCAAGCTATCTTCTTCTCCTCATACTCGTTCTATTTCCATTCTTATTATGAGACTCATTTGAAGAGGTCCAAATTCATGGGCTGCGAAGAAATGGGGTCACGCAGATGCAAAAAGAATAGCACTCCCTTACGGTGGACTTCTAATTTACATATTCGTGATATTTACCATCCTAATCACATTCAGACAATTCACTTTATTGTTTCTACAACACAGGGAGTTTGACTTAAATTGGAGTATTTTTGTGCCAAAAGGGCTCCTTTCCCTCTCATATCAGAACAAAATATATGAAAATCAGTAAACAACTTTAAGAAATGTCTACTCCTTACTACAACTTTTTTTTCCAAAATGGACAAGCTAGAAAAGTGGCAAACGTATATCGCCAGTAAATAAGCAACCACACTATGTCCTATCATTACTACAACCAGTAAATAAATATCGTTTTTTCGATAAATCACATATATCTTTCACGGAAGTCGAAAATATTCATATCATGGTGAGATTAATTCTCTTAAAGAATTTTGTTTTTATATTTATAAAGACTTAAACCCAAGAAATAACATTTTCCAAAATCTTGACTAACTCTCCCAATGAAAATATTTTACATTCAAAAGGACTTAAACTCAAAAGAAACATTTTCCAAAATCATGTGCGCGCGAGAGAGTAAGTCAAACAGAAAGAGTGTGTCACGGTAGATGTAGGGATACAAATTAGAAGGATGGGATATTATGGGAAAAGGAGAATAATTGAAAAGAGTGAGAGAGAAGTTAGATCAGGGAGATATAAGGGAAGGAGAAGAATAAGAGAAAAGAGATAATTTGAAAGGAAGACTATAATTTCTTAATTCATTTCCTTCCTCTTGTGATGATTATAGCCACTTACATTTTTTAATAGATGAAGTAAAATACCCAACAACATAATTTAAAATAAAATAACAAATTCTGCTAATGAGATAAGACTAGACAAACTTAAAATTAATTAAGATAAAAATAAACTAAATATAATTTGAATTCTAAATGGTAGTTGCTACAGTAGACTTTGTACAGAAAAAGTCCGCAAAGGTAGACTTTGTACCAGATTATATCAAACCAGTTTCGAAAATAAAAATATAAACTAGGAAGTCAGAAAGGAAATATATATATCATTGATATGCAAGGGTCAACTGCGGTTCACTGTTCATACATAGCAGTGAAATTTCTAATATATTATTGTAGTATGAGTATCTATATCCGCACAATAAAAACACAACATCTATACTGACACATTTTCTGAGGAGAGAAAAGAAAAGAAAACTATATTTATATATTCCCAAAAATATATAATCTGTAATTTCATTTTCAACAAGAGTTACCTACTCAGTGGGGGTAGGTAGTACAAGACATAGCAGGCCTCGGGTCAAACATGGGTGACCAGAGTCTGAAATGAGGGGAATCTCACCGTAAGAGCTCAAAGAGCATATAAGTGATAAAATAAAATTAAAAACACACACACAGTCACCAGTCACAAAATATCATATAAAATCCTATATGTAAGCATTTAAACCCCAACATATGTTCAAAAAGCGTAATGCTATTTGGTATAAAATAATTTCTATTAAAATTGTTGTGAATGGATTGTAACAATCAGGTGTTAATTTACACCGCACATGACTGGTCAAAGTTTCAAATGTAACTGTAAAAATAAAGAAGGAAAAAGGATTTCCAACTCATTTGTACTTGCATTTGTCAAAAGTAATTATTAGCATTAGCATTATTCATTCATAAAATAGCTGAAACTGAATTGAGACACAAGAAATTCAGTAAAGGTTTATTGACCATTAATTTGGAAATTAAATAAACTACAGGAATGTCACATCCACCTAGTAAAGTGTATTCAACAAAAAACCCTTCATATTGTCTGTATCGCGGTGCCTTTCCCCTCTCCAGGACCCCCTAAAAAAATCGGGGTGTAATTTAGAATCACAAGAGATGACTTAACCTCAGAGATCAATCACGCGCGATAATTTCTGGATCCGGTTCAATAGGAAGTCTCCTTGCTTAATAGTAGCTTGGTAAAGAGCATTCTTAGCATCAAGGCGGTTAGTTTCAAGAACACCCGCAACTTTATCAATATTCTTGCAATGAAGTTTCCCAGCTGCAATAAATCGTGAAAGCTCCCTGGAAGAAAATAAACGTAATAAGTACTTAGTAGCCTCCAGCAGGATTTAAAACCCTTGCATTAATCAATATTAAATCAAAAGTGAACCTGTGAAATGTATTCACTTACCAATCAATGAAATCAACGGTCACTCCAAAAGCTTTTGCCATAGCATCAATTGTAACACTCTTATATGATTCCAAAAACTGGGAATAAACAACAGTTCTGACCTCCCTCATGAAATATCGGAAATGTGGATGCAAGTAACGGTCCAACTTGATTTGCTCAGTCAAACCAGCTGAAATAAATTTCCAAATGAATCTGTAAAGAATCAATTCAACCCAAAAGCTTAAGCGCCCTCTCACACGAGAGTCTATTGGGCTTGAAGGGTGGATAATGCACAGGCTCACCTACCTGTGCGAAGAAAGAAATTCCACTACAAAAAAAGTGGGGGCGGTGAGGTTCGAACCTGGGATACGAGGCTCTGATACCATGTAAAGAACCAATTCAACCCAAGAGCTTAAACTGTTCGGTGAGGCTACATTAATAGTTTTATATATCTCAACAGAATCAAAACTATTATCATCGATTCAATTCAATTCAAATACATAGAAATGAACTATTTGCCAGCACTTCGCAGACCCTGCTGTACATCAGATGACTTAAAACAAAATCTCAAGCAATTACTTGTAGCATGAAGTGTCTCTAGTGAAGAACCAAAATAACTTCAAGAAACAAATATAAAGGTAACAAGATATGGCAGATGTCTGCTTACCAAATGCTGAGAAAAAAGACTTGTATTGACAATCATATAGGGAGTTTAAAAACTTTGACAGATAAGGGATTTTGCCAATCACTGTCAAGATCTCAGGAGCATCCACTACCTGACACAGATAAACTAAAATTAACAACATGAAATATGCAAAACATTTGAGAAGAAATATAAAGGAAAAATAAAATAGAGTCAGGACCACATGATAGAATAAAAATACCTTTTGCTTCAAAGAAACTCTATCCAATGATATAATGCTTGTTAGAACTGTGTAAAATATAAATATGTCATAGGGAAAAAGTTCATAGGTTGTAAAGGTTGAAATAGAATCCAATAACAGATTGGCAGCCTTCTTAAAATTTCGAGTTGACATGCAGTACAGGCCCTCATACACTTTCAGCCGATTCTTTCTCTCCCAATAGCCACCTTCTTCGAACAAACTGTCAAAATGATTCAGACAGTCATAAAACCAAGCCTGAACTGAAAAAATATAGTAAAGGGCAGTACTAAAGAGATATTTATAATTCAAAAAATTACCTTTTAGCTTTCTCAATGCTTTTGGCAATGAGATCAAAATCCATGTCAAAAAAACCAAGCAGCAATGTACAAAACACCAGGTCCATCTTCTGGCCAACTGCAACTGTCTTACTTTCTGTCACCTTGAGATGCTCCAAGGCTTTCTCCTGGTTCAAAAGGGCCAATGTTGTAAGACCAGTTAGATTAGAGCAGCTGCAGGAAAAGAGAAATAAGTTATAACAGGCACATATACCTTGCTGCCAATCCGGATAAAAAACAAGGATTTTGCCAAGTGAGCCTCTCGAACTTCACTTTCGCCCAAATTTTCCTCCGCATCAACAATTGCTGAAAGTAATGCAGATGCCACGTGTGCTTATTTATGTGTTAACTAGCTTCTGTTATTAGTTAGAAGTAGGTCCTGCTTTTACGGAAAGTAGTTAGTGGTTAGTTTCTTTAGCTTTCCTTATCTGAGAGCTCTTTGCTCTTTGTATATATACATCTTTATATTATTCAGAATTAGTGTGAATATTCATTACTTCATTTTCATGAATCCCTTGAGTTCTTTGGATCGTAATATGGTATCAGAGCTCTAGAGAGCTCTGGTATCGCAGCCTCTTGAATTTTCTTAGCTTCTGTTGAAGCATTCTTCCTGTTCCAGCTTGATTCCTTGTTGTGTTCTTCTTCAATGGCGAACCAGAGCACTCTGATCACTTGTCAAATCCAGCGAACTCACTATACCTCCATCCGAATGAAAATCCTTCCTTGGCTCTTGTAGCTCCTCCTTTGAATGGACGCAACTTTCATACTTGGTTGCGTGCCATGAAAATGGCTTTGCTTTCGAAGAATAAATTCTGTTTCGTGGATGGAAGCTTTCCTCCTCCTGATAACCAGGATCCTCTGTTCTCAGCTTGGGAACAATGCAATACAATGGTATTGTCCTGGATTCATCGTTCCATTGATGAATCAATCTCATAGTCCATTTTATGGATTGAGCATGATGCAGATGTGTGGCGTGATCTCTCTGAGTGGTTCTCCCAATCTGATGTGTTTAGAGTTGCAGATCTTCAAGAGGAGATTCAACGTCTGCATCAGGGAGAGAGAAGTGTTTCTGATTATTACACAGAAATGAAAACACTGTGTGATGAATTGGATAATCTCAATCCTTTGCCAAGATGCTACTGTGGAGCTCTTGAAGAAATGCGACGTGGACGAGAACGTGATCAAGTGATCAGGTTCCTCAAAGGCTTGAACGATCAGTTCTCATATGTCCGTTCACAGATCATGCTGATTCAACCATTACCTAACATGAACAAGGCGTTTTCACTTGTTACACAACAAGAACGTCAACTCAATTCTGAAGTTCATGGAGCTTTAGCTATGGAACCAAGAGCATACTTTGTGGATCAACGTCGTCGAAATGGTAACTTCGATAAAGAAAAAGGTCCAAAACCACGTGGAAATTCAACGTCTGCATCAGGGAGATAGAAGCGTTTCTGATTATTACACAGAAATGAAAACACTGTGTGATGAATTGGATAATCTCAATCCTTTGCCAAGATGCTACTGCGGAGCTCTTGATGAAATGCGACGTGGACGAGAACGTGATCAAGTGATCAGGTTTCTCAAAGGCTTGAACGATCAGTTCTCATATGTCCGTTCACAGATCATGCTGATTCAACCATTACCTAACATGAACAAGGCGTTTTCACTGGTTACACAACAAGAACGTCAACTCAATTCTGAAGTTCATGGAGCTTTAGCTATGGAACCAAGAGCATACTTTGTGGATCAACGTCGTCGAAATGGTAACTTCGATAAAGAGAAAGGTCCAAAACCACGTGGAAATAAGCCTAGGCACACACTGTGGAAGTACCAACCACACAGTGGATACATGCTATATGAAGCATGGATATCCACCAGGGTTCAAATCGAGGCCTAGAAATTCTTCTGCAAATGCAGCCCTTGCTGATGAAAGAACTGAACGAAATGAGTCACAAGATGCGATGATTATGACTCAACAACAGTACCAGAATATAATCAATATGTTGCAGAAAAAGAAGGTTCACAATGGAGAAGAAGAGAACTCCAACAACCATGCTGTCAACATGATTCACACAGCCACCACTACAGCCTTTGCTACTCCTGCTGGCACACAAAATTCTGGTAAGACAAATTTTCATTGGATCCTTGACACTAGAGCAACGGATGATATATCTTGCAATTTGTCTCATTTTACTTCTTTGCATGATATTGATCCAGTTTCCATTACTCTACCTGATGGTTCAAAAATTTTGGCTCATCACTCTGGATCTGTTGAAATATTGCAGAATATGCATTTGCCTGATGTTCTATTTGTTCCTGATTTTTGTGTTAATCTCATCTCAGTGGCCAAGCTAGTTAAATCACTTGATTGTGAACTTACTTTTCGTGATACTGTTTGTTGCATTAAACAGATCAAGTCACAGCAAGTGATTGGTTTAGCTAGACTATGCAATGGACTATTTCAATTGGAAACATACAACAACAGGAAATTGGAAGAAATCACTACTTCTGATATCAATGTTTCTGGTAGTAGATATGTAAATAACACAGTCAATGATGCTTCTACATTGTGGCATTTGCGATTTGGACATGCCTCAGACTCTGTATTGAGAGCAATGTGTAGTAGGTTTCCTTTCATAAAATGTAATAAGGGTTGTACTCCCTGTGACATATGTCATATGGCAAGACAAGAAAATTGCCATACAGTGTGAGTACCACTAGAGCCTCTAAAGCATTTGAGCTCATTCATGTAGACATTTGGGGACCATTTTCTGTTCCCTCTCTCACTGGATACAAATATTTTCTGACTGTTGTTGATGACTACTCAAGATATACTTGGGTAGTTCTAATGCAAAACAAAGGAGAGACCAGAAAGCATCTAGAGAATTTTGTTGCATTGATTAAAACTCAGTTTGGTGCATCCATTAAAACAATAAGAAGTGATAATGGACAAGAGTTCTATATCAGAGATTTTTATGATAATCAAGGAATTATCCACCAAACTTCTTGTGTGGAATGTCCTCAGCAAAATGGTGTAGTAGAAAGGAAACACCAACACCTCCTTAGCATAGCTCGTGCTTTAATGTTTCAAGCCAAAGTCTCTTTGAAATTTTGGTCAATTTCAATTCTACATGCTGTGCACTTGATCAATCGACTGAGTAGCCATCTATTACAAAACAGTACTCCATATGAGCTTCTCTATAATACTTCACCAATATTAATTCATCTGAAAGTATTTGGTTGCTTATGTTTTGCCAGCACATTATCTTCTAGTAGAAACAAGTTCAGTCCACGTGCTAGAAAATGCATGTTCCTAGGGTACAAAGATGACACCAAGGGATATGTACTGTATGATCTCCATTCTCATGAGATCTTTATTTCTCGAAATGTGGTCTTCCAAGAACAATGCTTCCCACTTTCTGATCATAACAGTGAAGTCAGATGTGATGATGCTTATGTCATGCCTATTTCTTCCACAGTCTACACCCTTAATAGATGACTTCTTCATTTCAAATCCTCAAATCACTCCAACAGTTCCTATCTGTGACTTACCCATTTCTGATGACACTACTTTTCAACCACCTTTATCAGACACCCTACCCATTTCACCTACTTCAATTTCCAATCCATTTGCCAATGAAAACCACATGATTGTACCCTCCCTACCTCCCACTACACATACCTCTAGACAATCCACTCGTACCAGCAGACCTCCCATTTATCTCTAAGACTTTCATTGTTCACTTACATCTACAACCACATATCCCATTTCATCTATTCTATCTTATGACAGATGCCCTCTTCCTCATAAAACCTTATGTTTCAACCTTCAAACCATTGCTGAGCCACGAACATACTCTGAAGCTATTAAAGATCAATGTTAGCATGATGCTATGAATACAGAAGTTTCTGCTTTAGAACAGAACCATACATGGCAACTCACTGATCTTCCTCCTGGCAAGCTGCAACTAATTGGGTGTAAGTGGGTTTTCAAAGTGAAATACCATGCTAATGGACATGTTGAGCGTTATAAAGCTCGCTTAGTTGCAAAGGGCTACACTCAACTTGAAGGAGTTGACTTCTTGGACACATTTCCCCCAGTAGCTAAGATCACAACCATCAGAACTCTTCTTGCAGTTGCATCCACAAATGGCTGGATACTGGAACAGCTGGATGTCAACAATGCGTTTCTTCATGGAGATTTGAATGAAGAAGTGTATATGGAGTTACCTCCTGGCATCACATGCTCGAAGCCTAATCAAGTCTGTCGATTACAAAAGTCATTGTATGGCTTGAAACAAGCCAGCAGACAATGGTATTCAAAGCTCACTTCTGCTTTGAGATCCATTGGCTACTCTCAATCTGAAGCAGATCATTCTCTTCTCACCAAGTCGAAGAATGGTTCATTCACAGCTCTTCTTATCTATGTTGATGATATAGTATTCGTTGGGAATGATGAGGGGGAAATCAAAAATGTAAAACAATTCCTTGATGATCAGTTTCGTATCAAGGATTTGGGTGCACTTCATTACTTTCTTGGGTTAGAAATAATTCGTTCCTCAAATGGAATTATTATTAACCAAAGAAAATATGCACTTGAAATAGTTGCTGATGGAGGATTCTTAGGATCTAAACCATGTTCTACTCCAATGGAACTTGGTACAAAGCTAGAAAAGGAGAAAGGTCAACCTTGCTCAGATCCTAGTAGCTATAGAAGGTTGGTTGGGAGATTACTCTACCTAACAACAACACGACCTGATATTAGCTATGCTGTTCAACAATTAAGTAAGCATGTTGGGAACCCCACTAATCTTCATATGCAAGCTGTAACTAGAGTTTTGAAGTATCTTAAGGGAACCCCAGGAAAAAGGGCTTTTCTTTGCAGCTAAGAATGAATCCAAAGTCAGTGCATTTGCAGATTCAGACTAGGCAACTTGTCCAGATACAAGGCGTTCAATCACTGGATATTGCTTATTCTTTGGATCTTCCTTGATTGGATGGAGATCAAAGAAACAGAATACTGTATCTCGTTCATCTTCCGAAGCTGAGTATAGAGCACTAGCAAGTTTAACATGTGAATTGCAGTGGCTCAAGTACCTTCTCAATGATTTGGGAGTCCAATTGATGCAACCAATGGCAGTATTTTGTGACAATCGTTCTGCTATAAACTTGGCTCACAATCCAAGTTTTCATGAGAGATCAAAGCATATATAGATAGATTGTCATATTGTTAGGGAGAAAATTAATAGTGGGCTCATCCATCTGCTGCCAATTTCCAGTTCTGAACAGCTAGCAGATTCATTCACTAAACCATTGGCTCCACGAATGTTCAAGGAGTTAGTCAGCAAGTTGGGGCTATTTGATGCACATCTCCCACCTTGAGGGGGGCTGAAGAAAGTAATGCAGATGCCACGTGTGCTTATTTATGTGTTAACTAGCTTCTGTTATTAGTTAGAAGTAGTTCTTGCTTTTACGGAAAGTAGTTAGTGGTTAGTTTCTTTAGCTTTCCTTATCTGAGAGCTCTCTGCTCTTTGTATATATACATCTTTGTATTATTCAGAATTAGTGTGAATATTCATTACTTCATTTTCATGAATCCCTTGAGTTCTTTGGATCGTAATAGCAATCCTGAAAAAGCAACCACATGGAAAATTATAAGCACAAGGATTACAAAGCTAACAATTTTTCAACTAACAGTTTGAATATCTGGAAATCACAAAAGGGCAAATGCATTGATTGTGATCCATCTATTACTTCTTAATAAACTTTTATACGAAACCCAATTCCTAATTCAACAATTTAGACTGACAAGAAACTTTCCTTATGAAACCCAATACACAAGTAGTGAATAAGGACAATAATTAATTACTTGGACAAAAAAATCAGAAGCAACTGCAATCACATTGCGGGAATAAGGAAGAATTGAAATTGTAGAGGCTCACTTTTCATCAAGCTTGTTGAGTTCATCGTCTAATTTAGCACGCATAGAGTCCAGAAGGGCAGGATCGGCGTCGAACACGGAATCAGCGATTAGGGTTTGGTACAAAGGGAGCATATCATCGTTGTTGATGTGAGTGAAAACCTCCTCTTTGAGACGAACCTTGTCGATGTCAGAGACATCGTGGAGGCTCAGAAGGAACAACTTGTTAGCGAGCACAAGATGTGGCTGCTGATGAGACCCTTCTTCTCCTTCCATCATTCACGATGATTACCTTAACACTTTGCCTACTCACCCAAGCAACAAGAAGATACCGCTCTTTTATGCATACATAACATAACACTGCATTATACTATTATCGATCCATCCTTTTAAACACTGCACTTTTATTCCTTGGAGGAGAAGTTGTGATTGGTTTTTTAACTAGAGTATTGGATTATGATTTTAAAAGAAATTTCTTTTTACAACTTTTTTTATAGTTTTTAAAAGACCGTTTAATATTGGAGGGATTTAAAGACTTTATTAAAAGACATTTTATAAGATTGGATTTTAATAGAATTTATAGATTTGAAAGGATAATATGGATTTATAAGATTTTAAAAATATATGAATTTTTATCAAACGTTCAAAATTACAAGAATCAATATAAAAAACAAAGAAATGCAATCATATTAATAAAAAAAAAGTAAAATATAATATAGTTTTCTCTCGGGAAATGTTATATTTACTATCTATTTTTCTTACTACTTGTTACTACCAAATCTTAACCGTTGATTTCCGTCAATCTAACGGTTATAATTTATTGCAAATTAATAATTAATTAATAAGTATGATCCCATAAATTACAACCGTTAGATTGACAGAAATCAACGGTTAGAATTTAGTAGTAACAAGTAGTAAGAAAAATAGGTAGTAAATATAACCTCTCCCTTTTCTCAATCAGTAAAATATAATATAATTTTTAACAAGCATTCAAGATTACTAAGTAATAACTCTCAACATATCTAAAGTTATACTAGTCCTCCATGCATTAACATTTTCTTGTTCCTGCTCTAGAGTTTGACCAATGAGTTGAAAATTATCTTCTTCATTTGGTATCAAAGCAATACATATATGATTATAAGACCCAATTTTTTTATTAAAATAATTTTAAATTTGAATATTGAACCTAAAGTTCATGATAAAATTTCGTTTGGAAATTTTTGTAATTGATCTTGAAAACTTTGGGATTTTTGTTCTGCGTGATGAGAGTTTTCTAACCATATATCATATGCATGTTTTATTGAGTATTCTAAGAAAATTACGAATATGAATTTCTGGGTTTTATTACATGAAAATTTAGAAAATTTCTCAAATTATTTTCAATCGATACATTGAAACCTTAAATTGCTTTGGAGCTTTTGAAAAACAAGTCTTTAGTTATCTATTGACACAAAAATTGTTTGAAATCGTTTTCTATAGCGAAGGAATTTCGTTCATGAATTTATTGTTACAAAATATAGGTTCATATTATGACAGTTTCAATTTTTCTTTAAATTGATACTGTTTCATTGATGTAAAACAAAAATTAGTTTGAGGGTTTTAGGGCTTGTTTGACTGTGTTTTGATTTTTTTTGTTCTTAAAACTGTTTTATAGAATAATTATGGAAATAGTTGTTTTCTATTTTTTTTTTGTTTTGAAAGTTAAAAATCAAAACAAAAAACAAAAACAACTCAGACACGTTCTCTAAATTTGATTCTAAAAACAATTACATTTTTTTAATTATTTTTTTAAAAACAGGCCTTACCAAACGAATTTTTTTGCTTTTTTATTCTGAAAACTAAAAAACTATTTTTAAAAATAGTAATCAAATAGAGCCTTGGTTCCTTTTTGTTTTCCCATTCTTTTATATTATTTTTAATACAAAAATCATATATTTTTGTGCCAAGAAAAATCGCAACCCGTAACTTGAAAAATCAATTTTAAAACTTCCAAAAGCTATCAAAAATCTACTGTTTTTTAGATGGATTATATTAGAATCTTGTTTTGGTTGATTTCCTCATCTGAGTTAAGGTTTATTTATTTATTTTTTATTTATTTTTTTGAAATTTATTATTTTGTGTGTGAATTCTAGTATTCAGGGGTGGGTTTGGAATTGTGTTAACTTGTTTTGCCTGTTATTTATGGGTGTGTCTCAGCAAAGTAGAAATTTTGGGGCTGGTTGAAATGGATTGAGTCATTGAGAAAATGTATTAGAACTTGATGTTATGTGGTTGGTGATTATGTTGTTTCTGAAGATGTGTTTAGTTATCTTTTGTATGTTGTGGCATTTACTGTTAATCAGAGCTGGGCAACTTCGTGGATGATTTGGGAAAGTTTGAACTCGTAGATGCATGAATATTGAAGATTTGGCTTAAGGTTGTATGTCACTGTAATAACTAGGTTCGAAATCAATTGAGGGTCACTTGAATTTCTAACTTAATTTCTAGTTTTTAGGAACTCATGTATGTAAGAGCCTGTTTGGAAGCAACATTTTTAACACGTTAGCAAAATAAATACAAGTTGTTATTTTTTTAATTATAATGAAAACATATTAACCGAAAATGAAAACAAGAAACTGAACCAAACATACTCTGAGTATGCACCTTTCAGTTTCAGTTTGGAGGTAAGAACAATGTTTTATGGATTTGACACTTCTAAGAAATTGAAGTATCAGTACTCTGGCAATCCACCGCATACCAGTGCATTGGAAGGATACGAGAATTCTTGTTTTCTTTTCTTGAACTATCTTTTGAGTACTCTAGAAAGCAACCTGTTTAGGTGGGTTTTTTTATAAAATTAATTGCTTCTGATGTATTATCATAAAATTGCTATTTGCATAGTTCAATACTGGTTTCATCAGTTTTTTTTTATTTTTCCTGATTACCGTGAAGTATTTAACTGTGAAATTACATGTTTAGGTTTTGTCAACTTTATGAACACCCTAAAGTTTGCAGATAAAGATTTGTTATAAACTGATAAAAAAAATTAGTTTTGGTAGGTGAAGAAAATGATTCTCACGAAGCAGTACCGATGCATACACTCAGCTAGCTGTCAATGTACTAAAAGGCATTTGAGTGAAGATGTGATATTCTTAGTATTTCATAATTTGAATAGGAATCCCAAACTAATTGCTACTCTGTCATGTGTGTGCAAATGGTTTGATGATCTTGCCAAGCGAGTTCTATGGAAAGAGTTTTGTCAAACAAAAGCTCCTAAGATGTTGCATGATCTGCAATCTAGTGGGAGCCACATTGTTGGTGGGAATTGGAGGGCCCTAGGGAAGTTGCTTATATATTGTTCAAGATGCAAGAAAGGTGGCTTGTTCAATAGCATTTATATCCCTGGTCACTTTGTTTATCAAACTCAATTTTCTAGAACATCAGGAAAGAGCTTTCTTTTGCCACAATGCAGAACTGATGTTTTATATGTGTCTGATCCTTGTGATCATCTTGACCAAGGTGAAGAGGGAGATGTAGGATTCTTCCGTGGAGTTTTTAAGTCATTTGCAACCTCAAAGGTCAGGAAGATGCTTATTAGTAAAGGTGACAAGCTCTATCCAACCGAAGTCGGCCCTTATTGTAAGGCAAAGTTGTGGATCATGTTGCAGGCCAAAATGATCCCTCAAAGTGCTAGTTGCAGTCTGCCCTCACATGCTTGGGATATGTACCTTATTACCATTGTCTGTATTGAACATCTTGAGTATTTTAGTGTTAAGGACCAAATAGGGCCTTGATAAATTTGTCAGTGACCAAATAAGGCCTTCGATGCTAAGGTCAGCTGTCCAAAACTCCAAGAAGACATAAGGCATGTTCAAAACGGCGTCGTATTACTTCCACACTGGCATACTTAACGGTGACTCAACAAACTAACGTTCCACGTGTGCTCCGTTAGTTGGGTCGTTGGATGTCAACTAACGGAAGGACAAACTGGGCCCTATTTTTGTAAAATTAAGGACCAAAATGAGCATTTTTTATTGTTGGGGACCAAAAGGGGCTTCGTGAAAATTGTCAGGACTAAAAAGGGTATTTACTAAAAAAAAAATTAGTTGTCTGGTTCCTATGAAATTCGAAGTGGACCCATTTTAGTTCTTTTGAGTGACTAATGTAGGTTTTTTTGAATTTGTGAGGGACCACGATTTCAACTAAATGGGTCCACTTTGAATTTCTTAAGGACCTCGAGACTAATTTTTTTATAAGAGACTAAAGTAGATATCTTATTTTTTGTTTAGGACTCAAAAGAAATTTTACTCTAGCTATAATGGTACAAGCATTCTTTCCTTTGTAATGTTTATTAGAATATTTTATTTTATTTTATTTTTTCTCGATAAAAGCTGTAATAAATAATAAAACTCGACTGTGACCGCAAAACATAACAAAGAAGTCTAATTGACAGTCACAGTACACTGCATGCTATAAATCGCCAACCTCACGATGACTCCCATGCTGGCTTTGACTTTTGAGTTTCAAATTCTTAATATTCGTTTTCACAATGTCATTGTTCGTTCTGAAAAACACGCAGTTATTATTATCATTTTTGGGCAAAGCTGTAGTTGCAAACGTAAGAAGATTATTTAGTCCCGGAAAATCGAATTAAGAGCCCAATTTTTTAGATTCTAATCCTAACAACTTTAAGCGAAGCCAAAGTGGTGGTAAGGATCATGCTTCTCCAACTATAGGCCATGATTTACTCATCACATAGGAGGTGAAATCACTTCAACTTAAGAAATGTCTACTTCTTACTACAACTTTTTTTTTTCTTCCAAAATGGACAAGCTAGAAAAGTGACAAATGCATAGCGCCAATGACAAATGCATACCTACCGCCAATGAAAAAGCAATCACTTCAATTTAGTATATGATCCATACCCAAGACATATTGCATTAATATATGCTTAGTTAACATAAATTAATGATCAACAATTACTTAATGCATGCTTCTTTGATTAATGCATGCTTCCACTACATCGGCCTCTATATAATACGAGCTAGCTTACCCAGTCTCTTACATAGACGAACGAAATTGAGGAATCTCTAATGGATCACCAGCCACCCCAAATTTGCAATGAAGATAAAGTTAAACTGGTAATCAATGCATTACCCGCAATTGGAGGCAGTGGCAGATACAGCTATTCCAAAAACTCTTACTTTCAGGTATATTGTTCCTTTCACTAACCAATTTCAGAAAAAATAAAACAAGAAAAGAATATTACAAGGATAATTTGGACAATGTTATGTACTTTG